TTTTTGTTTTTAAAAAAAAGATACCAATGACCCATTTGCAGTCCCTCTGAGTGGAACCCACCTTCCACAACACTGCTCTCTAGAGTGTGATCATACAGGCAGCATCACTTTTGCTCTTGGCAGCTGGGATAGTTCTGCACGCTTGGTGGTGTTGGTAATAAACACAGCCAATGATATAAAGAGATCACCGACTTGAAAGTAATCTAGTAGCTAACCATTTCAGAGCAAGATCTGTCCAACTAATTCTGCTGATTCCTTTGGAGGAGGAAGCTATATTGCAGTTGAACATCAGATAAGTTTTACCAAAGGCTTTCTTGGGAAAAAAACGTATGAGCCAAAGGCTTTTACACAAGGTTAGGACAGTTGATAATTAAGGTAACGCAAGAACTGATTGAGAGGAAGCAACAGGTAGTAAAAGGAAGGTGGCACAGTAGTAATCAAGACATTAATACTGGGTATATGGGTGCAAATGTAATCACACCAACTGGTGGAACTTAAAATGAATTAATATTGAAGTGAACACGAGTCATCTGGTGACAGTGACCATTGATTGCTGTGAAAACTCACCTGGCTTGCTAACATCCTTCAGGGAAGGAATTTGCCGTTCTTACCAAGTCTGGCCTACATGTGACACCAGACCTACGCAACATATATTAATGACGTGGATGAGAGATATGAATATGCTATAGCCAAGTTTTCAGATGACACAAAGTAGGTGCAAAGGCAAGTAGTGAGGGTGAAAGAATCTGTAGAGATATATAGACAGGTTTAGCGAAAGGGCAAAAAAGTTAGGTGGAAAATAATCTGGAAAAATGTGAGGTCATGCATTTGGCAGAAAGAATAGAATACTGGCCATTAGTTCAAAGCATAAGTCAGATCACAGCTGGAATACTGTGACACATATCGCATTAGAGAAGGTTCACTGGGCTGATTCCTAGGTATGGAGGAACTGTCTTATGAGGACAGGTTCTGTAGGTTGGGTAGTCTATACCCAAAAAGTTTAGAAGGATGACAGGTGGCTTATTAAAATATACATGATTCTTACAGAACTTGGCGGGATAGATGCTGAGAGGTTGTTTCCCCTTATGAGAGTGTCCAGGACCTGAGGGCACAATGTGAAAATAAGGGTCACACATTTAAGACAAGATGAAGAAGAATTTCTTCTGAGTGGATCTGTAGAACTATTTACCAGAGGGGTGTCAAGGCTGGGCTGTTGAGTATATTCAAAGCCGAGATAAACAGGTTTTTAATCAGTAAAGAAATCAAGGTTATGGGGCAAAAAGCAGAATAGCGGAGTTGAAGATGTTCAGATCAGCCGTGATCTCACTGAATTATGAAGCAGATCTGATTTCTGATTCTGTCTTCTGATCTCATTATACCATACAGAGGCCATATGTAGCACTTTGGCTAGGTCTTACAAAAGTCTGCTAATTGTGGTACACTACAAGTCATAGGATCCCTACAGTGTGGGAGCAGGCCATTTGGCCCATCAAGTGCTCACTGAATGTCAAAAGAACATCACTGCCAGATGCACCATGCTACCCTATTTCTACAACACTGCATTTATCGTGGCTAATCAACCTAACCTGCACATCTTTGAACTGTGGGAGAAAACTGGAGCACCCAGAGGAAACTCACGCAGACACGGGGAGAATATGCAAACACCACAGACAGTCACCTGAGGTTGGAATTGAACACAGAACCCTGGCACTGTGAAGCAGCGGTGCTAACTACTCAGACACTGTGCTGCCCTAATGTCGAAAGCCTGATGACCAAAGGTAACTTGGAGGAGGGCCATGAGGCAGGTTCCCCTTGTCAGAGCTGGGGAGGAATGTAAAACAAAACACTTAGCCTTCCTAAGCTTTGAGGAAGACAGCTTGAGAGGGGACTGCAGAACTATTAAAAAAATGTAGGTGTAGGAGAAAAGATCAGTCCCAAGCATGACTGAAACTTCAATCATAATTAAACAGGGTAACAGTTTGGTAATGCTAATGTTGATACTAGAAAGCACCTTCTAATATCTTCCAGAAAGAGCAATCAAGAAGAAAAAACTGTTAGATCATGTAAGAGGTAGTGGTGGTGTCTTCTGAGTTGTGACTGGGAGGATTTAAATGGTAGAGTATTTGCTTTCATTTGTACACATCTTTATCAAGTGTCAAGTTGCCATGCGCAATTTTATTATTATACTGTTAAATAGCTAAATAAAAAGTTACCTTGGGTGTAGACCATTTAACTCCTTGAACTGCTCCATCATTATGTCAAATAACAGATTCTCCTTTTCCCAAAGTCATAGATTCCATATCTATTGATACTCTTACCTCACAGAAATCTATCCATCAATCACAGTCAAGAAAACACCAACTCCAACCATCTTCAGCACCTTTGCGAGCAAGTGAACAACGGAGAGAACTTCCAATTTCTACCTTGTGCAAAAATGTGCTTCCTGATTTCTCCAAGTGGCATCTTACCATTATGTGCTAAGGTCCTAGATTATATCATCAGAAGAAATAATTTCTCTGTATAAACCTTAACAAATCCTATAAACAACTCAATCAGAGTACTCTTCAGGATTTTGTACTCAAAGGCTTCCTTACCAATCTCTGTTCCTCTTCTATTATTTCATCACACATCTTACATATTTACGCATTTGTATTTGTATATTTTGTTGAATAGTAAGCTTACCAGTTTTATTCTGCCTCCGTTAGTCAACCTGTTGAAACTGGAATCTATACCATTGAAGAGTAAGCCAAAAGCTAATTTCTCAACCAAACTCAACATAAATATCAGCAACAAAAACTTGCATTTACAAATCTTTTACTCACAGAGAAACAGATTTTGGTGCTTAAATTTTTATAGCAAATTAGAACAAATACCCACCATGTTTATCAATATGTTTTAGAGTATTGTGAGTAATTGTGTGCCCCACACTTCAGGAAGGATGTACTGGCTCTGGAGAGGGTGATCCCAGGAATGGAAGGTATTTTTTCCTTTATTCATTAACAGGATGAGGGCATCACTGGATAGGCAGCATTTATTGCCCATCCCTAATTGCCCAGAGGGCAGTTCAGACTCAACCACATTGCTATGGGTCTGGAGTCACATGTAGGCCAGACCAGGTAAGGATGGCAGTTTCCTTTCCTAAAGGACATAAGTGAACCAGATGGGTTTTTCCTGACAACTGATAATGGATTCATGCTCATCATTAGATTCTTAACTCCAAATATTTTACTGAATTCAAATTTCACCATCTGCCACGGCAGGATTCGAACCCGGGTCCCCAGAACGTTATCTGGGTCTTTGGATTTAACAGTCCAGCAATAATAATGCTTAACATATGAGGAACATTTCAGGACTCTGGGTCTATACTTGATGGAATTTAGAAGGATGAGGGGGGTATCTAATTGAAACTTACAGAATACTTTCACAGAGTGAAAGTTGGGAAGATGTTTCCGTTAGCAGGAGAGACTAGGATCTGAGGGCACAGCTTTAGAGTAAAGGGAAGACCCTTTAGAAATGAGATGAGGAGAAACTTTTTCAGCCAGAGAGTGGTCAATCTATGGAATTCATTGCAACAGAAGCCTGTGGCAGCCATTGAGTATATTTAAGACAGAGATAGACAGGTTCACAATTGTCAAGGAGATCTCAGGTTACAGGGAGAAAGTCGGAGAATGGGGTGGAGAAACCTTTCAGCCATGATTAAATGGCACAACAGACACAATGGGCTGAATAGCCTGATTTCTGCTCGTACGTTTTATGATGCTGGTCAACAAGACACTAACAAAGCCATAACCTATAAGTCTAAGCTAATCACAAAACAAATTAAAAAGGAAAGTAAAAGAATTCCACAGATCGAAGTTTGAATGTGGATTTCTCTTCCGCAACTGCTTGTTGAGGTACAAATTATTTTGCTTGAAATGAAACAGTTTCTTGACAAAGGGCAATATTGACGTGTATGGGAAATGAGATAGAAAATGGGATTAGACTAGTGAATCATATGGTGAAAAACAAAAGCATGAACATATTAGAGTAAATGGCTAATTTCTTGTTGAAATGTTCTATGATTGCTAAATTATAATATTTGCTGCTCATCCTAAAGTAGACTATGTACTTTTAGGAACACTTCAAATGTTCAAAGACAGTACCATTTATCTCCCAGCTTTTGGACATTAAATAGGACCTGCCAACTTACTAATTACAAAGGTTCTTAGTCATTACTAACCAAAGCCAAACGAACCAAAAATGATGCAGAATTCAACCAATGAACTTAAGCACAAAAAGTGCTAAGTTCAAACAACTATTACAAAATCCTGTTATTTTATGATGACCTTCTTAACTTCGGTTATTTTTGTGAAGTGCTAGATCAATAAAACTAACCCAAATAAAACACGAGAGAATGACTAAATGCTAGACCAACTTTTTTTCTGATTTGCTAATAGAAGTGACTTCTAGTCTGATAAAATTTCATCGTACAGCTCCAAGTATAATGTCGATAAACAAGGGTACATCACCAACAGGACTCCTGTATGGTATCTAAATGACTCTTGTTCTCATTGTTTTTCTCTATTATTCCAGATTACAATATACTATGTACATTGAGATTAACACTAAGGAATTTTAACTTTAAGTATTTATATTGATTTAGAATAACATTTCATTTTTCACAACAGTGATGTAAAGGTGTATACATTAGCTAATTAGGGAATGAATCAGACGCATATCAGTTACATATGGTACGCATAGCCTGGAAAGATCAGAGATGGCTAAGTCTATATATATATTCCACACAACTACAGCATGCTTGGCCAGCTGATCTGAATGTTACTAGTAGCAATGTTGCTCCATTGGAGTAGTTTTAGAAAATTTGAAAATGACTAGGATGAACTTTTTGTACATAGTGTTGATAAATCATTCAGCCACTGTACTTCCAAAGTCTAACCTACATAACAAAGTTTACTTAAGATGCCAACTTATGTATCATAAGGATGTGAAGAACATATTACCTTGAATGATCCTGACTGGAATCTCTGCTCTCTGCTGGAGACAAGCTGTTTGAATGCGCTGAACTTCTCGCTGAAGATTTTACACTTGACTTCTTTGGTGATAAAGATCGTGAGCGTGAACGTAAAGCTTTTCCTTTTAACTTGGGATGAGATTTTGAACTTTTTTTCTTCTTCTTTTCATATGGAGACCTAAATGAGTCATATTTTTGCAAACATGAGTATAGCATTTCTTTTAATGAACATGGCCTCTGCATGAAGTATGTAAATAATAACCATCTCAGGAAGTAAATTACTAAGATATTTGCCACACAATGTGCAATTTTACTCACCAAATATGCTCTCTTAGTGAACACGTTAAGTTCTACAAATTTCATCTCCTTCCTCCTGAAAGGTTGATTTAATTATCTGACCAACCCTCCAGACTGCTCATGTGAATCCTCACCGTGACTACCAAAGGCCATCAAAGAAATCAGCTCTGATGTCTACTACTGCGGTCACGAAAATCCAGTGCGTACGTAGAGTATGTGATCATAGGTTATGGATCAGAAAAAGTGCTCTCAGCTATTCTCAACGCTTGGTAACCAGGAGGGAAGAAACTGACAGTTTGATATTAGCCATAGCCTAATACTATTACTTGCACCTCTTGAATTTAAATATTACGGGTTCAAATCCCATTGCAGAGACATGCACACATAATTAATGCAAATACTTCAGGGCAGGACTGAGACACTGCTTCACATCTCATAAGAACGATAGCACCTGAACTCCCACTTAAATCCTCAGAGAGGCTTAAATCTCTTTGTACGGCGGGAGAGGATTCAGAAGTTTGTGGCATTAGAAGCTGTGTCTTCAGTCACCTATAGTGGAGAGGCTAAAAACTGTGTGCGCGCTCAACCAAAATTACCAAATCAGTCACTTTACAAGTTACTTAACAGACATTATTTTTGGAAATTTGCTGCACATCAGTCTGGATATATTATATTTTCATATGGTACAACAGTGACTACCCTTCAAAGGCTATTTATTGCGCAGCACTGAAAATATCCTGAAGCCATGAAGGTGCTATACAAGTACAAGGCATTCTTTCTACTGTTCCCGCCACCTGAATCAAATTAATTCAGAAGTAACAGAACCAAAAATTCCTGGTCAGCCTCTCTCACATAACACAAAGCAAACATATTCAATCTAGTAACGAGCTCAAATTCATAGTATAGGGTTTAACTCAATTCTATTAGATAGTGAAAAAGGAGATTAATGAAGAACTCTTATGAAGAATCCTCTAGAGAAGAGCAACTAAACTCTTGTACCACCATTGTCATTCTTCAAACTGAATTACTCCTGCCTTCCACCCAAACATAGCCCTTCTCCATTGATCTTTCCTTCTCCACTTCCCTTTTCCCTAGTTTTGTACTTGCTTATAAACTGCTAAACCTCTAACTTCTTCACATTCTGTTACAAGGTTGTCAACCTGAAATGTTAACTCTGCTTTACTACCTACAAATGTTGCCGGACCTGAACATGTCTAACATTTTCAGTTTTTATTTCAGATATTTTATTCGAAGATGCTCTTTCTTTTGTTCGGTCTTGGGATGTTAGTATGACTGGCATTTATTTCCGTTTCAAAGAAAGGACTGTCCAGGATATTGAGCTGCCTGGAAGTTCAGACCAAACAATTTACAAGGCTAACTGTACTGGCATTCCTAACAATGGAATGTTAACCTTTACTTCAAAAGGAAGTGGAGTAAAAAGTAGGGAGGTTTTGCTAAAACTATATAAGCATAGCTGGAACGCTGAACACTTTTGGTTCCCTTATATATGGAACTGGCATTGGTGACAGTCCATGGAAGGCTCTCTAGGTTGATAACGGGTATGTGGGGGACTATCTTTTGAAGAGAAGTTGAATAGGTTGGGCCTATACTTGTTAGAATTTAGAAAAATGAGAGGTGACCTTATTGAAACATACAAGATTCTTTGGGCACTTGATAAGGTAGACGTGGAGAGGCTGTTTTCCTGCATGGCAGAGTCGAGGACCAGAGGGCATAATCTTAGAACAATGGGTTGCACATTTAAGACAGAGATGAGGAGAAATTTCTTCTCTCAGAGCGTTGCTGAGGTTGGGTTATTAAGTTTATTCAAAGCTCAGTTAAACAGATTTTTAATCAGTAAGCAAATGAGGGAAGGTGGTGTTGAAGACTGTCCAATCAGCCATGACCACACTGAGCATGGTGCAATGGCCCGAACGGTCTACTTCTACTCTTAAGGTTTTACGGTCTAATGACGCACGAGTTAACTAAATGCACTCAATGTATAAAGAACAAAATAGAAAATAAAATAATCACAACTACTGAAGGCTTCAAGATCATTTCAGACAGAATAATATGAATTAATGTTAACTGTTAAGCATTTTTCAATAGATAATTTAGAAAGTTGAAAGGTGCACATTATGACTAAAATTATCTATCCATTTAATCAAATACCAGGTAAGCTTAGAATTCTGCTTAAGTAACTTTTCATTTAATGCATTAGAAAGATTTGTGCTTAGCCTTTTATTGACCAAGCAAACTTAAAATGAGAATTTCATTCTATTTCAAATTTGAAACTTGATGCAATCATGATAATGTTCCTGTATGCCCAGTTCAATCACTTTTTTAAACTCTACTGGACGCTATGCAAAAACCTGAAGCAATTTACAAGTTCTTCAATATAGCTTCTTTTTGAAATAAATCGAGGCTAATTGACAAGGGTCTGACAGAAACATCAATGCAAATTTAAACTGATAAAAGCATAAACCTTGGTAGAAACATCTATTCAAGGTCTTCATAATTTTTAAGATGAAAAACTGATTAAATGAAACCGTGAAGTTAGTATCTACATCTAAATTTTAAAATTTTCAATGGTTTTATTACAAAACAGGTGAAAACATTATTCTCCTTTCACACGTATGATGAATGAAATAGCTTCTCATACATAGACGTTATGAAGTATGGGAAAAGAATATTAAATTCCAACAGGTCTGGCATATTGTATAATACATCTGAAACACCCAACAATTGCCACTTATTCCCTCATTTCTAGCCATCTCCCCAGTCAGTCTTGATAAAATTGGAAAATACGTAGCTTGGACATTCAAACTTATGAAATATCGTGAAAGCTGGTAAGAAAATACCTTGCTTATCCTCCTCTGAAAAAGGGGAATAAACTTAAAATTCATTGATAATGTTATTTATTAATATGCTTTGTTAAAATCAGGACAGATCTCAAAATTTGTAATCTAGAAGGAGCTAGATAAAATTGCTTTGCAGTCCCTATTAATGTTATTTCCATTTTGTCAGTCTATTTAAAGGAACCTTTTGGAGGAAAACATACTCTTCAAGTAGCTCAAGCCCTTCATTCTTCCATGGGATGGGGCATTAATGGCAATATTGCTTATTCCTAATTGTCCTTGAACCAAGTGGCTTTCTAGCTCATTTTATAGGGCAGTTAAGGGTCAACCATATTGTTGTGGGGGTTGGTTAGCTCAGTTGGCTGGACAGCTGATTTGTGATGCAGAGTGACGCCAACAACGTGGGTTCAAATCCTGTACTGGCCAAGGTCACTGTGAAGGTTCAGTCTTCTCAAACTCACCCCTTGCCTGAGGTGTGGGAACCCTCAGGTTAAACTTACCTCATCACCTTGCTTTAACAGTAGAGCAGCCCTATGGTCCTGGGGACGATGGTAACTCTGTGAATCTGGAGTCACAAACCAGACAAGGACAGATTTCCTTCCCTTAGGGACAATGAACCAGATGGGTCTTTTTTTTTTAGAAAAAAGCAACCATTGAAGATTGTTGCATGTTCACTATTCGAGTCTTGATTTCAAGTCTAGATTGATCAATTTAAATTCTGCACTTGTCATAGTGGGATTTGAACCTAAGTTCTCAAAGCATTGGCGTGCACCTCTGAAATGCAAGTCCAATGACATTAGCACTACATTTCAAGATAAGGTGTCAGTTCTGCACAGGTGAAGAGAACTGCAGAGTATGCTATGTATCACCTGACCATATCACTGGACAATTTGAACATGGCTACCCCTGTCTTTGATTATGTAGTTTAATGTTCTAGACACTCTTATTTCATTTTAGTAGACTCTCAAAATAATTACAGCACTGAAGGAGGTCATTCTGCCCCTTGAGTGCATGCTCATTTGATGTCATTAGAGATTTAAACATCACGGAGAGATGAATAATACACGCACAATGCCCACTGTTGGGCTTATTTGCAGAAATGTTATTACATGTAATCACTGTAAGGCATCTAATCTCATCCTTAGTTAGCCCAAGAGCGTCAGGGATCAATTTTAGAAACGGAGTCCTATGCAAGCCAAAAAAGTGAGGAGTGGCAGCTTTCCTTTCCTGAAGGGCAATAATGCAACTGTTGCAAAAACAAACTCAGAAACTGCTGGAGAAAATTAGCAGGTCTGGCAGCCTCTTCGGAGAGCAAAACAGAGTTAACGTTTCGATTCCAGTAACCCTTCTTCAGATGCTGCCAGACCTGCTGGGATTCTCCAATAATATCATGCTTTTGTTTGCTTCAGATCTCCAACATCTATAGTATTTTGCTTTATTTTAATGCAACTATTGTGTTTTCATGAGAATCCAGATTTTGTGCCTAGTGACAGCTCACAAACCACTGCACTGATTGACATAAGAGGCTGATTTGAACTGAGTATCAGGAGGTGCTCCTGCAATATGACAATCACCAATGTAGCATACTCACCAGAGATATTGCTCAACTCTTATTACAGCTTCCAAGCTGCCAGTTCGGATTTATTTTACTCATTTAGCTAGACATCACCGATCACTAAATATGACCAGATGCATTCAGCTTCTGAATCCAAACTTTTAACATTAAGGAATGTGATTCCAACAGCACCTGCAATAATATCACGTCCACATCTGTCCTCTAATATTTTACACTGTTTTCCATTCTTCTGCTAATTTCTAACCGATTCCCAAGTTTTACCCAGTTCCCCAAGCCAATAACCTTTTGGGTGCAAACCTTCCTATAAGACAAATGTGAATGTTTGAAATTGTTAATTTTAATCAAAACAAGGTGGACTTTATGCCCATCTGACAAGCTAAAAGCACTCTCCGAAAGGATAAGGAAAAGCTCTGCCTATCTGATTTATTTCTTTATTTATTCATGGGATATGGGTGTCACTGGGTCGGCAGCATTTATTGCCCAGTTGGCATTTATGAGACAACCACCTTGTTGTGTGTCTGGGATCACATGTAGACCAGACCAGGTAAGGGTGGCAGTTTCCTTCCCTGAAGGACATTAGTGAACCAGATGGGGTTTTTCAACAATCAACAATGGATTCATGGACATTGTTAGGCTCATAATTATAGATTTCTTTTTTTGAATTCAAATTCTTTCATCTGCTGTGGCAGGAGTAACATGATTAAAACTACTTGTTTAACGAACTGAGTTGAGGTAACAATTACAATAGAACTAATATCTGAAACAGCGAATGTTTCCATTAGATTATGAAACACATCTAAAACAATTACACAAGTGAAAGAGTTATCCAAGTAAAGAATAGAATTGTGGTTGAGTGAATACTAGTCTTAAATGGAAAAGGGTATAAATTTCCAATGATCTCGTTGAACAGCAAAGGTCTCAACACCATAGATTACACACTACTTAAGGACTGAAAAGAATCTATGAGATTTTGCAAATGTGGTAAAACATACCGTGATCTTTTTCTGCTACTTATATCTGAGCTGTTACCAACTCGATAGGCACTGGGGACATTTCGGTCTCTCTCTCTCTCATCCCGCCGTCTCTCTGAAGTCTGAACTCTTCTTTCATGAGGTGATCTTGATCTACAGCAAAGAAAGATATAGCTTACTAAAGCTACATAGGTAGTTGACTGGTTTTACTCTTCTCAATGTCTTCTTTGGTTTACCATTTCTTTCCCCTAGTACATCGAGGCACTGTGATGTTTCTCTGTTGAAGGTGGGCTGTATAAACGCAAATACTTGTTTTTGCATTACAAACTGGGAGTATGTTAAATCAAACAAGTTACATTACTAGAACAACACAAAATAAGATTTTATTGCAATGCATATATAAAGAATCACCAGATCCAATAAACATCCTAAATAAGTAGAGTTTCATACTGTAGTTCAAATTGTTACCCACTTAAATGTATCTCACGAGTAGACAATAATACTAAATTATCAGCTTCAGGTAACCTCTTTCCAGCCACTTTAAAAAAGGCAAAAGGAACAGAGAAGCAAGTTAGCCAGGGAATTTAATTTAATTTTTAAATATTTTACACCTAATGTTACAGGAAAAATCCTAAATAGTCTAAATTATAGAAATTGTAGCTGTAATTTAGACAAGGGGGAGAAAGTGAGGGCAAGTGGCTGAGGGAAGATGTCAAGAGGCAATGTTTTAGGCAAACAGTAGTTAATGGAAGTTTGATCACTCTCACCCAAAAAGCTAGGGCGAGGTTAATTTGAAAATTTCACAACAGTTTTTGTTATGCATGAAGGGATACGAAACAAGGCAGTTAGCTCCAGATCACCCATGATCTAACAATGCTGGCATAGCCTCAGGGGGATGAATGGCCTAATCTTGTTGCTGTCCTTGTAGAATTGACTGAGCTGGAAACATATTTTAGATGCAATACAAAGAAAGTCTTTCAAAATTGGCAGCACACATTCTTGCTCATTCTCGTCTGCTTAGTACTAGCATCAAAACGGGAAAAAAAAGGTTGGCAGAGTAGCTGTGAAAGCTACAATATAAGAAAACAATTGTAAGTTTGACTTAATGTTACTGTATCTCGCATGATATTGTCCAAAGGAAACCAGTACAAGTTTGCCTCAGTGATGTTGCAGTTATGGGGAACTAAGCTTCTGGAGTCTACAAAGCTCCATCCGGTGGTAGAAACGTGAAGCTGTAGCCACAGCTTTGAGAAGCATACCTGCATGTCAAGAGATTCTTTCATTAGCTCATGGGATGTGAGAGTCATTGGCTAGGTCAACATTTATTGCCCAGAGGACAGTTAAGAGTACCACATTGCTGTGGGACTGGAGTTACATGCAAGCCAGACCAAATAAGGATGGCAGAGTTCCCTTCCTAAGGGACACCTGCAAATCAGATGGTTTTTTTTAGTACAATTAGCAGTAGTTACATGGTTACCATTAGGTTTTCATTCAACTCCAGATTTTTAAAAAATGAATTTAAATTTCAACACCTGCAAAAGTGAGATTCTAACCCATGCCCCCAGAATATCTGCCTCTGACTAGTCCATTGATATTACCACTATGCCACAATCTTCCCAAAGAATTGTGAATCGATTCCTGTCACAAGATGAACCTCAACTGCAAGAACTCCTCCAAGCAAGAGCTGGAATTGATTTATCCATCCATCCATCCATCCATCCAGGAACGGGATGAAGATAATTGTTTTTGTTACTCAAGATATTGATGAACGTGTGGAAATCCCTACCGCAGCAGGCTGTGGATGCAAAGTCACTGAATCTAGTGAGGAAAAAAAATAGATTTCTAGACACAATCTGTCAAGGATCTCTTAAGTTTTTGTGGATATATTTCTGCCTAGGTCAAACAGTTTGTCTTACAAGAAAGTAGGTACTTTATCAAGGCCTGAGTGATCTCCTCATTTACGTTTGATCATGTAAATGGGCCAGGGAGGAATCTCATTGATCTTTCTCCCCACGGTGACCTTGGTTCTATGTTTCACCTCTGCCAGATGATCAGTTGGATTTGACAGGGTGGAGGATGTAGATATTGTGGCATACAAGGAATTGCAATTATGTAGGACAGGTAGAATGGACCAGAGGATCTCTACCTACCTGTCACTGCCATTCGATAACGTCATTCAATGAATAGACAATGCTTCAGACAAACAAATATGCTGTACTGCAGATATATTTTTAAGCCTGAGATAGAATATTCAATATGATTAACAAACCTTGAGTGCCTGACACTTCTATAAGCGCTGGGCAGAGAGTGTTTTGCTTTTGACCGTGACCTCGATCTTGATCTCGATGTTGACCTTGACCTTGACCTCAATCGGTATCTGGGGCGTGACCGAGATCGAGAGCGAGATTTCTTCCTGTGCTTCTTCTCTTTCTTCTTCTCTTTATCTTTTGAAGATCTTGCACTTTTTGTTGAAATTTGCTGAATAGTATTGGCTTCTGTTGCAGAGGCAATTTTCTGAGAAATTTCATTGGCAACCTACAGACAACAAAACTGATTTTTAGAATATTCTCCAAATCAGATCTGTTGTGCTTTGCGTTTTTCCTTCCTAGCTAAGCATACTATAATAGTCAAAGCCATGGCTTCCTATCAAAACATTTACAGCTTCCCAACAATGTTGAATTATCCAATGTTTGACGTCAGATTAACATATACAACCAAGACTTAACTCCTTTTCTCAGCTAGTTATTAACTAAAATTTGATGGGCTATTCCTGTGCTCTTAAAAACTAGTTAGCAGTATTCTAGAAATCTTTTGACATTGTTGGCAGGTGCTTTAAAAAACGCTAACTGCTCTATTAAGTGGTTAATTAGCAGTGAAGTGATCAATTATTAACAAATAAAACTGACTATAGGACGCTTCTAGTATAGACAGCTTTAGAAGCCAGAATTTCTTTAGCAATGGAATAACTTCTAATAAAGGTTAACATGATAGGCTAAGGGTAAAATGCATGAAAAAAAAGTGATTATCCTGCAATCATGCCCTATGCCCTGAAACTTGCCAAATAGATGCATAAAAACTAATATTTTAGGATAAGCCCTGGCTAGCATTTCTGCTCAGCAAGGCATTGTGCTAAGAATGCAGGAAAGTCAATTACACAGAAATTACAATCTCGCAGCTCTAATGCATCGTGCTCTTGTTTATCATTCACAGAAACAGCACTGTTAATTTCATGGGCTGGATTTTCAGAACATTAACACTAGTATCAAATGAGGGACACAATGCAGTACTGCATCTGGAACAATCACCTGACATGGGATTGGGGTGGTTAGTGAAAAAGAAGTATTAAAAGCAATCGGAAGTGATTTTATTTGTTGGGGGTGGGGGTAGAGAGAAAGAGTTTTAAAAGCAATTGGAGTGGTGGTCCTGGAGGCTGCCGCAGAGAGGCTGCTTCCTTTTAGGAACCAAGGTTCAGTACTACAGATTACCTACCTTCCAATCATCATGGAAGAGGTGGCCATAATAGGCTGCTAAATTGGCTCAACCAACTCCCCACCATTGAGAGAGGAAGTTGTTCTGGATTCTGCTTTGCCTTCTGAAACATGGCTGCGTGTCTGGGCCATTCCAGGTAATCAGCATGACAGGCAGGATTGTTTAGTTCTCGGCTCACCTGCCTCCAGCTTCATACCCATCTCACCATACGTCTGAACTGTTCTCCATTATGTCCTGGTTAATATTTACCTCAATCAGTAAAAGTGATCATCTGATCACTTTCACGTTGCTAGTGATGAGACCATGCTGTGCACAAACTGGTTACCACGTTTTCTTTGGAGAATGACTGCACTTCAACTCCATTGTCTCTGAAGGTCTTTGGCACATCAAGATCCTAAAAGGTGCCATATTAATACAGCACACTTCTTAATTCTACATGTTGAAGGTATGGAGGTTCAAGAATACCATCTCCTAAGAATCCCTGCCAGCAACTTCAGTTTTTCCAAATCTCCTCAGTTGTATGATAGGCACAATCACTTTCAGAGTGGTAGACTTCACTTGCAATGTGCCAACTATTGTTTTACCAGGTGATGACTGTTAATACAGTTCAGTGGTGTTATTTCAATGCCAAAAGTTTCTGAATAGGGACGCAAGCTAGTAAATGTAACATCATCACTTAAGAGAAGAGGTGCAGAGAAAACAGGATAGTTTCCCCCCTCGTCAGCCTTTTGGAAGATGCTGAATTTAATATTAAGGAAGTCGTAACAATGCATTTAGAAAATCACAATATGATGAGACAGTCATCACGGCTTTCTACGAAGGAAGAAAAATTCAACAAATTAACACTAAAACATTTTAGAAACTAACTAGTAGGGTTAAAATGAAGTCAGCACGAGGCGAGCATAAAGCATTCAACAAGGTGCCACACAAAAGATTAATACGCAAGGTAATGAATCACGGAACTGGGGGTATATATCAGCACTGATAGAAGATTGACTAATGAACAGAAAATGGCAAGCAGGGATAAACTTTGAAATCAAACTAATCCTAGAATACTTATCGAGTTACACGATAAAGCACAACTCTGAGACACTGGGTACTGTACTCCAGGTATGTATTACAGACTTAAATACATCAAATGAGATTGCAAATGAATTACTTATCATGTTGTACAATCACAAGAAAAATAAAGCTGAACAGAAAAGGGTAAATGAGAACATTATTTTAATTTGAATATCATCTATATCACGAACAATCACAAGTATAAACCAATTTTGGATTCAGCACCTTATGCAAAGAATAATTAATACCTGAATTGATCTTCTGGGCAGGGTAGTAGAGGCATAATCTCTGGAATCATTCAGGAGGCAGTTAGATGTTGCATTAGGAGGACGGTAGGTTTCTATAGCAGGATGAGCTAGATGGGCTGAACGGCCTCCCACTTCTGGACTTATCTTTGTGATGAGTCTTTGATGAAATTTAGCGGAAAACACTTCAGTGTTGTCAATCTGAACAATTATAGAGAGTTTTGGACTTTGGTGCAAAGCATTTGTTAAGTTTCTTGTGAATGAATAGGAAATTCTATCACTAAAATAATGCATGATGACAATCATAAATGAAAGCTTTAACCAACTTGAGTAGCATCAAATAAAACAGGACCACTGCATAACAATGTTACATATGAGGGGTGTTTGTTAAAGGTAAGTTTCAAAAGCAAATTCGAGTAAAAACAATTGCTTAAAACATAAAAACAAATTTTGTTATATGCCAACTTGCTGGCAATGTCTCCAGCTAACATTGACAAACCTGTTTTACACATTGTATTCTAGAAATGTATTGACAAAGTATAAAAATGCATAATGTGGTTACTTTCAGGACGCACCATATTCTGCTATATCCCAACCAATTCCTGAATCCGTAAACTATAAGTATTTGAAGGTTGCTATGCAGTCAACTAAAAATGATGTTAAAATACTGAAACATAATCCTGTTAAACTTGACCAGTTATCATGCAGAATGTACAGACGTAAGAGTTATGGACTGAAGTCCACCTCAACTATTACTGTTAGCACATATTGGATACCTAAGATCACAACATTCAATCTATATTAAAATAAGCAAACGTTGAAAATATGAAAGGTGATAAATACATAGCATGTCTACCAAAATAAATAAAAAGATAGTTTACCGGTTTGGATATAGAATTTAAACAAAGTCCTTTAACTGGGTGAAACTATCAAGAAACAGGAGGGAAAGAATGAGGTAGAACATCCAATGAATCAGAATGTCAGCTGTCAGACAGCTTAGATGGTATAATAATCACACAGATGAAATCTGAAAAGCTCAAAGGGGTGAAAAACCAGTGAATGATGTGCTCTGATCTCGGAGGTAATATGAAATCACTCTTCAAAGCATTCGGCATTTTCTAAAATAATGAAGACCTGTCTTTCAGAAGCGACATTCTGATTTAATTCTTAAATTCTGCAGAAAAATGCAGCATGCTAAATGCCAATGAAAGAAAGAAACACACTACATTATGAACAGAAGACAACATAACTGCACACTAGCCTGATTGACAGTGAAAGATACAGACATAACATTAAGGTTAATTTCCCTTCTTTTACCGAAGGAGATTCTTCAGACGAATAAAAATCAGATGGGAGCATATAGTAGAGACAGAGAACTAAAATACATTACTCTGCCAAAGCAGCATCTAATAGCCTTTTGCAGATTATTCATACATTTTAAACATTACGACAGAAAAACCTCCTTTTAGTAACTTATCTACACCCCTTTAGCTTGTCGTCAGTTTGCCTCATGTTTCAAAAGCACCTTTGTATATTTTCTGCATTAAGGGAGTTACATAAACAAAAATCCGTTGCTGTACATCTATTTGCAATAGTTCCACAGAGGTAAAGGACTTTGAAAGATGACAAAACATCGACCAATAAACTCTTAAACACGGCAGAATCAATTTCCATATTTACTCAGTTGAACTTTTGGGGCTGAAAGTGTGTGTGAAGCAAAATAATTGTAACAGCAACACGCACTCGGGTCTTCACTAGTTGGCAGCTGCTCAAGAAGGCGAAAATCTGATGTTCAACTATGATTAAGAATCTAATCTTCATCATGCAGGCAAGATGCCAATATCCACCATTTTCAGATTTAGTGCAATGTACAGTAGTAAAGTGATTGCAGTACTGGATTAACATAGGAGACCGAGCACTTAGTTCACTTCTTAGTGTGCTCTTAAGTGACCTAGCATACTACACAATCTCTGAAGAGTTAGCAACAAGCATTATTTTGTCAGTAGCCTATACCATGAGGAACGGAGTAATGAAACCTCACACTATTTTCAGGAAACAAAGGAACAACAGGAGCTACCGTTGCTGTTCACAGGTGGATAATTTTCTTTAGTATCATTCGTGTATATTCAAGCTTTGAAATGCAACCCATTGATCAGAAGTGAGGGGAAGCTAGAGAGGGCGACACTGTTAGCTCACCAACCATTCAGGCGTAGTCAAACCCAACCTGAAACGCCAGCTTTCCTGCTCCTCTGATGCTGCCTGGCCTGCTGTGTTCGTCCAGCTCCACACTGTTATCTCTAAATATTCACCTCATAGTTTTAACAAAACCAAATTTAATACCCAAAATAAAGTACTCCTCAAAGTAGCCCATTTCATAACATCAAGCAGTCAGGCATGGAACACGTTAATTCATGTATTGTGAACAGCCTGAACAGCCATCACTACAGACATTTGACAATAACAGACTGCCTCCTGCCTGATTTCATCAAATTACTTTCAACGCTTCATCAGTAAGATTAAACATGTAACTAGTGCATTTCAGAATACAGGAGATAGCTTGGATCTTTTGAATAATTGGATACACAAAAGGTTTGTTTTGTAAGATGTTTGAAATATTGATTAAACAACAAACTATTCATTAACCATGAGTACAGTGGATATTTTTGAAAGAGAGAAAAACTGGTTGGTACTTAGAGATTTGAACATCCTTGTACATAAAACACAAAGTTGACATGAAAAGGACAATTAGAAATTAGGAAAGTAAATGATAGACTAGTCTATATTACAAACAGGCTGAAGATTATGGGTTGCTGCAATTACACAGGGCTTTGATAGGACCTTCTATTTAGTTTGGGTCACCTTACCAAGGTGGGACACACTTGGTTTTAGGGGAGTGCAATAAAGGTTAACTAGAGACTTGATTCCCAGAATCAAGACATTGCCCAATGAGGAGAGATTGTGTAGACTAGGCCTATACATTTCACAGAATTTAAAAAAAAGGAGAACTGATCTAAATGAACCATACAAAATTGTTAAGGGATTAACCGACAAGATGCTGGAAGAATGTGTCCCGAGGCTGGGAGTCTAAAACCAGGGGATCATGGTCTCTGAATGAGGGGATCAATCATTTTCAGACTGAGAAGAAATTTCTTAGCTCAAAGACTGTGAATCTCTGTGTTACAATTCTGGATGGTCAAACATTAAGACGGAAGGTTTTAAATGTTTGAATAGTAAAGGGAATCAAGGAATTGAAAGATAGGAAGGCAAAGTTGAGATGGATATCGAATCACTTTGACTCGTACGCAATTGCGATGAGCTGAATAGTCTACTCCTGCTTTTATTTCTCATTTTCTTAGGAAACTGTGGGCTTGCCCTTTTGCCCCATTAAACTTCATTAAAAATGTCATTACAATACTGAACAAAATGGTTGAAGGTTTGCAATTTAACCCAGTTTTGAACAGAAAGTTTTTTTTGTGGACTCACAAGCTTTGTAAAGCTATACAATCCCAAACTAAATTTGTAAATTTGTAAGTGAAGCTTGTGATTTGTTCCCAAGATGAAGTATACGAAGTGTATGCTCACCACATTTTATGCTGTTACATCGAGCAACAACACTGGGAAGGGTGAGGGAATATTGTGTCTCCTCATTAAGTTCCGGTCACCCAGCTGGTACTGAGCTCGGCAACTGTGATGCAAGGTATCCAGCAGCTTTCATACTACTATGTGCATTATTTATGAGTATCATAATCCATATAATCTGTAAGTGAGGGCTATGACCAGAACTCTCATTTCCATGGTAGACAGACAGCACCAAGCTGTTTCTGGCTGCATATCTTATATTACGTCATTAGAACATAGAACAGTAGAGCACAGTACAGGCCCTTTGGCCCACGATGTTGTGCTGACCTATTATCCTACTAAGATCAATCTACCCTGCATACCCTACAATATACTATCATCCATGTGCCTATCGAAGAGTCGCTTAAATGTCTCCAATGTATCTGACTCCACTACCACTGCTGGCAACGTATTCCACAAGCCCACCACTCTCTGCGTAAAAAACCTACCTCTGACATCTCCCCTATACCTTCCTCCAATCACCTTAAAATTATGCCCCCCCGTAATAATCATTTCTACTCTGGGAAAAAGTCTCTAACTATCTACTCTATCTATACCTCTCATCATCTTGGACAGCGCCATCAAGTCACCTCTCATTCTTCTTCGCTCCAATGAAAAAAGCCCTAGCTCCCTCAACCTTTCCTCATAAGATTTGCCCTCCAGTCCAGGCAGCATCCTGGTAAATCTCCTCTGCACCCTCTCTAAAGCTTCCACATCCTTTCTATAATGAGGCAACCAGAACGGAACACAATATTCCAAGTGTGGTCTAACCAGGGCTTAATAGAACTGCAGCATAACCTCGCGGCTCTTAAACTCAATTCCCCTGCCAAGGAAAGCCAATATACCATATGCCTTCTTTACAAGCCTATCAACTTGGGTAGCAACTCTGAGGGATTTATGGACATGGACCCCAAGATCCCTTTGCTCCTCCACACTGCCAAGAATCCTGCCATTAACCCTGTATTTTGCATTCAAATTCGACCTTCCACAAAATGAATCACTTCACACTTTTCTGGGTTGAATTGAATTCCATCTGCCACTTTTTCTGGGTTGAATTCCAGCTGCCATCATTGTAAAATCCAATTTCTAATGTCAGAAGGATGATTAGGGGATCTGTTTTTATTACTACCTTAAAAATGAATGGCATCACAATATTTACATTACATGACATGTGCTGATTCATCAAAAAGGGCCAGGTAACATCAAATTGGGAATAGAATTAGAGGTCATTTGTGTGAGTATAGGTATATCCAGAGACAAATAATGACTCACAGGGCACGAGGGATCCTGTATTGTTAGGGTCACTAGTGGTGAAGGAAAAAGGGAAAGGAAGAGACCAAGTCAGTAGTCAAGAGAGGCAACAAACAAATATCCCCGAGTTTTGCTCACAGTCTAGATGGGAGAATATTTCTACAAATCTTTCCTCAAAAAATTTAAAAGGGAAAACATTTATGAATGATAAGCTCGATGGTGTTAACATTTTTATTGTATGCTAATGAATTTACATAAAATATTAATGTTGATTTATTAATAATGTAGATTATTAATAAATGTCAAATACTACAAATAATGTCAAATACTACAGAAAAAAGTTTAATTTTCTACCTATTTAAAGAATCAATAGCTAAATAATTCAATAAGGCAACCACATAAGAAAAAGCTGAAAATAATCTGCAGTCAGGCAGCATTGATGCAGAAACAGAAATCAGGTCAGATCTAAGTCCCTTCCTCAAGGTTGCTCTGGAATTAACCAGAAGGCTGCAGTTAGCTAGGTAAATATTTGTCAGGATTTTTAAAATATTTAAAAGCTGCTGAACTTGACTGACCTGCATACTTTGGGAGTTTTCTTCCATAGTTATTGTTTCCAAATCTCCTGAGGTCGCGGGAGTTTTCAAATTCTGTAGGAAAAGTGCTGCTCTTTTTTTGCGTTCTGCCTGTAGCTGCCTTTCCTTGCACTCTTTTGAAGCCTGTGCAAGCTTCTCCCTCGCTGCTGCTGCTAGCCTGTCCTCCAGCTTCTGCTTAGCTGCAACCAGGGACAGAAAACACCAATTACATGTGTGAAATATTCCTTCATGAGGAGAAAGGCACAGGAAGGAATGTGCAGAGACACTGGAGTTATGAAGTGCAAATTAGAAATAAACATATAGGTAGTTTGCATAGGTAGCTACACTTTAGATGGAATGGCGTGGAGAAGCTGGAGGAGAATCACAAAATTATTATGGTACAGAAGGAAGTCATTTGGTCCATTGTGCCTGCACTGGTTCTACGATCTGGTGCCAATCTCTTGCCTTTTCCCCATATCATGGACACTGTTTCTTTAATTTTTATCCAAATAATCAAACATTGCCCTCTTGAATCCCTCAATTGAACCTGCCTCCACACATTTCCAGCCATTTCTTTTAGGAATAAATTCAAGTTCAATAAAATATTAAATACATTAAAACAACAAAACATTACACTACAAAGAATAGCAGACACTGAAGATCTGAAATGAAAACAGAAATTGCTGGAGAAACTCAGCAGATCTGATAGCATCTGTGGATAGAAAGCAGAGTTAACAGTTCAAACCCAGTTAACCTTCTTCAGAACTAGAGTTCTGAACTACACTGATGATGTTTCATTTTTGGTACAGAGCAGACATAACTTTAAGACTAGAATGTCATTCTACTAGTTGGTCACATAAGTTTCAAGGTTCCCAACAGTTTCAGATTGGTCAAATAAATTGCAGGTTAGGTATTGATTTTCAAAGTCCATATGCCATACAGCAGGAGCTCTATAATATTAAAACAACATCTTACTATAACACTGCCTGTGCACCACCTTTTTATCTCAGCAAGCCTAATTTAAAATGGAAGACAAAATTTTCCTTTATTTATCAGCTTGAAGGCCTACATTTAGTGGATTGCAACTTCACTGAGCACAAACATGATCAACAAAACCAATTTTCTGCCTTCCTCCCCTGAAGAGAGCTTATATTGGTGTCTCCTTGCAAGTATGCGCCTGTAGCCTTTAAACATGTGAATTTCAATCGGAGAAGATTAACCCAGGGGTATGTTGCAGAATGAAAACGTGCACATTTGAACAGAAAAAAAATTTTAGCAATTTTTTTTAAAACACTGTAGTCTACTGATGAACATGCTCCTTGCTAGGACTTAGAATCCTTATATTCTGTGGGAATGTTAAGTTGTGGAACTGTGAACTGGGGAGAGTTCAAGTACATGTCTGAAGCATATTGTACAGGTTATCATTTGGATGCATCCTTTTCAATGGTAACAAGTTTTATTTGTTTATAGCTCCAAGGTCCTGCACATTTCAAAAAAGCTTGATAAATAGTTGGCACGCATCAGCACTTCCCTATCTCATTAAAAATAGATGAGAGTGCGCAACTATAAAAACAATCTTCTCAGAGGTCAGAATTCAAAATTTGCTGCCTTCTCTCAGCAATGCAGTTTATGAAGACTATCTTCATGAACTAGTGTGACAGGTGTAAATAAATACAATTACGACAAGATCTGCAAAAATAAAAGACTAAAGACTTTGCCATATCAGATCATAAAGTTTCCTTTGAACGGACTGTGGGAATATTACATAATAAATCACAATTACCCATTTATTGTCCGTCCAAACTGTGCACAGAACAAGAACTGAACTGACAACATAAATAATGTTCAGCTGAGGCAATATCTGCAACTCAACAATTTAACCTAGCTCTAATGTTTCCAAACAATTAGCCCCAAAAACTTCATATTTCAATTTAAAAACATTACAGATCAATCAGTATAATCATTTAAGTGCGTAAAAATCTAATTTACTAAGACAACTTAATGCAGCTCTACCATTAATTCAACGTTTAAATGGTCATTGATCTAACCACTCAATATGCCAGCTTTATTACTTCGAACACAAAAGCAAAATCTCTGTTTCATAGGCACCATGGAAGCGTTATAGACCACAGTCTCAGTTTTCCAAATGGAGTCTTCAAAACTGCCCAATGGCCATGTATCTGGCATTGACCCCACATTACGTGCTCCAGCTATGTAAGGAAGAGCCTGTTTCAATAACACAGCAAGTTGATCCACAACTACACATTTCAAAGTTTCCAGATTTGATGCCCAGTCTATGCTGAGTTAGCTGAACTACTGGTGCCACTAATTTAGTCTGCCCAAATATACTTAGATACTATTCATGCAAACCACAACTGAATATCTATTATTTCATCCAGAGAACGTTGAGAACATGCAAAATCTCCAGGTTTACTCCCTATGTTAAACAGGAAAAGACTAATAGAGCAAAGGGGAGCTTAATAAAATGCATTACGTTATCTTTTAAGAACTCTTCCATTCTCTTCCTTTAAGAACCATCTGCATATCTGCTAATGTTTAAAACTATTCATCGAAAATTACAGTCGCAGACATCAAGACTCAAAATGTGCTGTCCTTTAGGATTGAAGAGTAAAATTTTTCTATGACCAAGTCAGGCTTAGGTTTGATCAGATGATGAATTTCAAACTAGTTTCCTTTAAATCTGATGTAATGGATAATCACTTATAATGGCACAGAACAATTCGATGCCAAAACAAATCTTCAGTGGAACAAAGCACCGTTTATGACATAAGTGATAATGCAGGCAAAACTGGAGCATATTCACAAAATTCTATGGAAACCTGTAATCCCACGGACCAGTGTTGTTAACATTTATAGTACTGCCTACAATACAAGTATACCCTTTCTTAAATATAAAGAACAAAACCGTACGCACTACTATGTGCAGGAATGAAACAGAAAAGAAAACATTTTGTCCAAACTCCCAGATGATTACTGCCATTAACGTTGTAAAATACACCTAGAGTCTGGACCTGATCAAGAATTAAATGTTAAACAATGTATTTTATGTACATGCAAAGGGCGTCTCTCTTAACTACATGGCATTTCAGAAACAATCCATTACACAGAGATAAAACCAGCCAAAATGTACAGTGTTGAGCCAAAGTGCAAAGTTTTGGGATTTCAGAACTTACTTTCATGTATTATTGTACCTGTAACAGGCAGTAAACACGTTTAGAGATTACATTGAGAAATTTACTGTGGAAAACAAATAAAGGAAGCAGTGAATCCCTGAGGTTTCATTGAGGTGAAGTAGATGGTTCAAATCTGATTATTTTGTATTAAGGAGGGGTTTTTGTTAGCAGGTTACACAACTCCTTACGATTGATTCCAGGGTGGCTAAACGAGATTAAGATTTCAGACTGACGTTATTCACATTCCTTAGAGAGAGGGGGGTTTCATGAGCTATGTCTTGTTTAAAACAGAGAATTCTTATGAATATATTTTGGCAAATAACGTTATTCCTTTGGTCATGACCGACTAACTATTCTATCTTAAAAATTCTTAAAGATTCCTTTAAAACAACTTTCTGTATTTTAGTCTTCAGAATTATGAAAAGCATTTAAACTAATTCTCAACTTATGTTATTTCCAAAAGACATTCGAAAGAGAGTGGCAGTCTTGTGTATCTCCCAAGGCATTTAGTTTATATTAATGAAGGTTATTTGTGAGACCAAGGTTTCATTAGCACCACGAGGGAGGGAGTGAAAAACAAACATGACAGATTGTGATGGGATGTTGCTTGCTTATGAAAACAGCTGCAGAGGACTGTGAACAAAAAAGAAAATTGGGATGATTAAATTTATTAAATAAGCTCATCACATTAGTTTTGGAAATCATGGCCGATACCAATCAAATCAATGTGTGTATTTAAAGATTAGTAGCAATATTTATCCCGAGTACAGACAAATTTTAAAGGTTAGTGTCTGTTTTTGTTGGGAGGCATTTAGATGTATAGAGGTTTTTCACATTTAGTCAATTCACAGTCATCAACTAAGGAACACAGAACAATGCTTCAAGATTGAAGTGGAGTACTGTCAGCAACATAAAGAAACCAGGACAATGATTTCCAAATTCATGTTGTCTCTTTACAGCCTGAAAATCAGTTCCCAACATTATGCTCTGAATTGTCTGACAGGGGGTGGCATAAAGAGAGAAAAAGCAGCAGCAGGGAGGACAGGAAAGTCCTTTGCATTCTTCACTGCATCTGCATGGCATGGTTAGACTAGCAAATAGAGAAAATTTGCACAAATATAAAAGAAAACAATTCTGTATTTACACATTATTTACGAGGACACCGTGAGCGGGGCAGCATTGTGGCTCATTGGTAAGCACCGCTGCCTCACAGCACCAGGGACCCAGGTTTAATTCTAGCCTCAGATGGAAGCTTGCACGTTTTCTCCATGTCTACCCTCTAGGTGCTCCAGTTTCCTCCCATAGTCCGAAGATGTGCAAGTTAGATGGATTGGCCACACTAAATTGTCCTATAGTGTCCAGGGATGTTCAGGCTAGGAGGATTAGCTATGGGAAATGCACGGTTACAGGAGCAGGGTGGGGGCTGGGTCTGGGTGGGATGATCTTTGGAGGGTCAGTGCAGAGTCAATGAGCCAAAAGCTCTTTCTGCACCGTAGGGATTCTGTAATTATATTCAGACAGAATGTATGAATTAGGGCTGGCTGAACATAATAATAACTGCTCCTTATATATGCAATTCAGAATTTAAATGTTCTCAGCAAAGAAAACAGAAATCCCTAGAAGAAACAGATGGAATGACAACTCTCCAATTACAAAGTTGATCACATACAAGTGCTCAGAACCGCATAATTCTTACTGGGACAAAACAGCATAATCATTTGCAACCACTAGAATGCCAGACTGGGTGTCTGGAACATCCACTGACATTCACAATTTCAAATTGGATCTCACATTTCCTTACATTCCCATTTTGGTATCTAATTTTAATGCATGTAAGCAGCTCTGGATTGGCCAGTATTTAAGTTGTAAGTAGGAGGAGTAGAAACTGACCATTCAGCCCATCAGGTCTTGTATGCTATTCAATGAGATCATGGCTGGCCTGATAATTCTCAATTTCACTTTCCAATCTTTACCCCATGACTCTTGAACCCCTTACTGATTAAAAT